CACAAAAATATCATATTATCAATCAAGCAAAGTTCGAACCATTAGCATAAAATCTCGAAAGCGAAAAATTACCATGGTTTTCGAAAGCATTTGCAATTCTTCAACGTGGGATATCATCAAAATCAATTTTCCACTGCTGTAACGAGGAGGAGGGCAACCGGAAGCCTGAGCGGCTGTAGGGTGGCTCTCGGCCCGATATTAGCAAGTAAAACCTTATTAGTACAAGAGCAAACACACAAAAAGACACACACACACACACAAAAGGAACAATAAACCGTGAAGGAGCTTAGCAGCAGCACCAAGCTGCCGTCGCAAAATTTCTGGGACACAAAACCAATCCCCAATTCATTTCTAATCATCACATTAAATATCACGGAGGGTGGAACTAGAGCCAGACGGGACATTTTTATATCATGTGGAACCGAAGGGTAACTGGGCAAGGCGAGGAGGTTTAGCCGGCAGCTTCGTTTTCTTGCCGTTAACACCTTGACCCGGTCGCGAGACAGCCAGTACCTTCTCAACGTACTTCGAGCTGTCACGGTTTGTATCTTTTCCATAAGCAAATGTGTCAGGAGCTGATTTTTTTTTTTTTGATTCACAGTTGAATCTTGCTTCCATATAATACCAAAATTATGCCTTGGGATTTTTGTTGAAGTCGAAATTTGAATGAGCGGCGCTTAGCTATATGCTTCAACAATCCCTAATCCGCCGTAATCCCCAACCATAGTGCGAAAAAGCGTCAGGATCGGAGTTATTGTACGATATGTCTAGCTGTAATTTTCATGCTATATAATTTACCTTATAAAGAAGTGCTTTGTCGGTATCGGATGGTTCGCCTTTTTTGCTCCAAAAATCCACAAAATCGAAGCTGAAAAGATTCAGTTCCGTAAAAATAAGCAGAATTTTTTCCGTTTCTTTTCTTTTTTTTCTTGTGGAGGTTGCTGGGGCAATCGCCCAAGCTAATAAACAATGCTTTATTTAAAAAAACAAAAAAATAAAACTCATACAAC